AAAAAAAAAAAGAAAGCAGAGCCTCTGTTGGGCACAGTAACTCAGCCTATAATCCCAACATTCTGGGAGGCCGAGGTGAGTGGCAAATGAATTGCCTGCACCTGCAGCTTTGAGACCAGCCCAGGCAACTTGGCAAGACCTCATCTCTATAATAAATTTTTTAAAAAAGAAAGAAAGCAGAGCCTCCAGTCCCTGTAGCCACTTCACCAAAGTTCTGTGGAGCAAACCCAAGCCTCCCTGCCAAGCCCTGCCTCCAGTGAAGATGCTTGTGCAAAATACAGGTGTGGGGGCATTTAGGCCATCACTAAGTTTTGTGATGGTTGTTTTGCAGCAACAGATAACAGTTACTTCTATACAATATAGAGCGGCTGATCAAAAAAGGCTTCAGACATTCCCTAGCCTGATATCATAAATCAGTGGTTTCTGACAAGCATAATTGTCAGCACTGAAGAATTCATTCATACACGTTTTTCACAACTCAGTCGAATCACAATCTTTCTAACACGTTCACACCATATTATGTCACTCAATACTATGCCACAGAGTGAAAAAGAAGGCATCTGACTTTCTTGCCAAGAAATTTTAAAAGGAAAAAAAAATGAGAAAGCTACAAAGTACAAAAATCTCACAGGTCATCAAATAATAAAAACTAAGGGCAGCTGTCAAGCCACCCTCTTATACACACCACAAGTTTCAGCCCTGCTCCCTCCTTACCTCCAGCCTCTCTGGTGGGGTCTCATTCTGCAGGATTCTCAAGGCTTTTGCAGCAGCGTCATGTTTCGCGGCCTGTCTAGTCTTTCCTTTCCCGTTAAATTGCTGTCCTCCCACAGAAAGTTCAACTTGATAAAGCAAAGGTGGAACTGGAAATGGATAAAAGTACCTAAAAACAAAAGGGGGTTTAGTCTCAGGTTGATAAGTAACCCATACATTCTCTGGCAAATTCAAATAATTCCTTCATTATGGTCCTAATCACATTAGTGTCTGCTTGCTAATAATGACTCATCAATATACCCAGAATTTTGTTAAAGTTTAAATTGAATTAGAATTGCTACACAGTATAAGCAAATAGTGTTCAGCAATCCAAACTTAGGCTTCACAAAACACAATGGCCTATAAATTACGGGTTCAATTTATTGTGCTAGTCTATATTAACAAGGTCTAAAATGGATCAGGCTTTGGCTGAAACAGAAACTTGATTTGCTCTACCTTCTCAAACCTTCGCCTTGCACTAGAGTGTCTCCCAGAGGAGGCTGGGAACCTTACAGCAGAACTCTTTAAGAAGGGAACCGAGCCAGGCTTGGTGGCTCAGCCTGTAATCCCGCGCCTTTGGGAGGCTGAGGTGAGTGGATTGCCTGAGCCCCGGAGTTCGAGACCTGCCTGGGCAGGCAAGACCTCATCTCTACAATAAACCAAAAAATTAGCCGGGCGTGGTAGCGCTCGCCTGTAGTTCCAGCTACTTGGAAGGCTGAGGCGAAAGGATCACCAGAGCCCAGCAGGTCAAGGCTGCGGTGGCCAGGAGCGGCCATTGCACTCCAGTCTGGGCGACAGAGTGAGACTCCAACTCAAAAAAAAAAAAAGGGAACCAGAGGCCGGGCTCAGTGGCTCAGCCACTAATTCCAGCACTTTGGGAGGCTGAGAAGAGTGGACTGCCTGAGTCTAGGGGATTTGGCAGCCTGGGCAATTTGGCAAGACCTCGTCTCTACAATAAATCAAAAAAAATTTATCCGAGCATGGTGGCGCATACTTGTAGTTCCAGCAACTTGGAAGGCTGAGGCGGAAGGATCGCCTGAGTCCAGCAGGTCCAGGTTGCAGTGGCTGTGAGCCAGTCTGGGCGGCAGAGTGAGATTCCAACTCAAAAAAGAAAGAAAGGGGGAAAAAAAAGGAAAGAAGGGATCCTCATTTCTAGAAATCCCCATAACTTCTAGCCTAGCAGAGCCATGTTTCTTACTTTTTTTACACTTCAGAGCACGTGTTTTTGAAATGGTTTCAGCTCCCAAGGAGGGCAAGGAAATGAAGCATTCCATTTGGATCATCTATCTATGCACTAATATCTTATTACCACCACCAGGTGGTTTTCAACACATGGCATTTACAAGTTTCAATTAATATTTTACTCCACCAAGACTATTTACAAAGCACACAAGTTCAAAAGTCAAAAAGCAACCAATAAACAGTAATCAAGAAATCTACAAATGCTGAGAATCATGTTGTTGAAGAAATCACATTCAAATATGATTCAGCTACACAAAGCAGTTACAAGGGTGATCTTTAACCAGACTGCTTGGGGGCACAAGCCACATATCTAGTCAGAAACGATCACGACACAATTCCAAAGGCACAAGCACAATTAAGACCGACTTCAACACCTGGCAGGCCAAAAGATGATCAACTCATTACTTGCGCCACAATCTATATATATTACTCTGTGTAAAAGATCAGATATATTTTTACCTGTATTTTACAAAAAAGAATCAACTCACACATACCTCGGGGGGTAAGCACCTCCTCTCATGTTGTAATTGTAGGTGGACTGCATCCGAGAGTAAGGATCAACAGGCTTATACATTGGTTTTTTTCCAAGTTTCATGCACAGCGCATTTAGTTCTACAGTAGGGGTTACACTTTCTGAAACAAAAAAGCAACAAAAAGATTTGGGTTTTTTTTTCTGATATGGAAATGATGACCAGTAAAATAAAAAAGCACACTTTCTGCTAGCTGGATTTATGATGCATTACATAAAAGGCCCTGAGCACTTCTAGGAATCAGATCAGGGAATTCAAGAATCTCCTGTGATTCCTCGATACTAATACACAGTCAACAGCACAAAATCTACTAGAAGGGCTATTTAGAGGGAGAAACAATTTAACCTGAGATATTATCAGTTAAAGCCATATAGTACAGGTGTCAGAAGTAAATCTCAGCTGGGAGCGGTGGCTCATGCCTATAATTCCAACATTTTGGTAGGAGAAGATGAGAGCACTGCCTGAGTCCAGGAGTTTGAGACCAGCCTGGGCAACTTGGCAAGACCTTATATCTACAGTAAATAAAAAAATTAGCTGGGCATGGTGGCACACGCCTGCCGTTCCAGCTACTTGGAAGACTGAGGCAGAAGGATCACCTGAGTCCAGCAGATCGAGGCTGCAGTGGCCGTGAGCTTGCCACTGCACTCCAGCCTGGGTGGCAGAGTGAGATTCCAATTCAGAAAAAAAAAAAAAGAATCAAGTCCCAATACACATCAAATTTCATGATTATAAAATCCCATATGACTGCCCAAGATGTTTGATAGTTTAAGAATATTTAACCAATATAACTTTGGTTGTATTGGTTAACTGGCTTACATTCAGAAGTATGTTTGTATACACCATTTATTGAACGATGAATGCATTTATTATGTACTAACTGGATGCAAAGCATTGTGCTAAGCTTGAGGGACACAACCCTACCCCAAAGATCACAAAACACAATCTGAGAATGTATGCTACAAGTAAAGATAAGATCACTGAGGAGGTGGCCAGCAAACTCGATGTGAAAAGGTCAGATGAGGCCCACGAAATAACCAGATATTCCCACTCTTGACATTTATAGTGGGATCTGACCTGTGGTGACAACTGTTAGGAAAAAGACTTCCATTTTCAAATACAACAGGATATCTCAGAATTAATCAACTTCAGGAAATACACACTATTCATTTTCCAGCTTTTTTCCTCTCTGTTTATTCATTTCATAAATCTTTACAAACTATTTAAAAAGAAAACCAGTCTGGAAAGATTGGTGTCAGCACACAATCACATTTAAAACAACACTTTCATGTCAACCACAGAACAACATTAGCAATGGTAAAACCCAATTTAAAAGCACACAAAAATCCACTTTATTTTTTTTTAATTATTATTTTTACTTTAAAGATGAGGGGTACAATTCAGGGTTAGAAAAATCCACTTTAAAATGCATCTTTACAGGCCAGGCATGGTGGCTCAAGCCTGGAATCTCAACACTTTGGAAGGCAGAGTTGAGAGGATTGCCAGAGCTCAGAGGTTCGTGACCAGCTTGGACAACTTGGTGAGACCTCATTTCTACAATAAATCAAAAAAAATGTGTATATATATATAAAAGCAGGGCATGGTAGCACACGCCTGTAGTTCCAGCTACTTGGAAGGCTAAGCGAAAGGATTGCCTGAGCCCAGCAGGTCAAGGCTGTGGTGGCCATGAACGTGCCAATGCACTCCAGCCTGGGCAACAGAGAGAGACTCTAACTCAAAAAAAAAAAAAAATAGCATCTTTACGATATATGAGAAATAAAAATGACTCGCCTCTGTACTATAATTGGTTTGGCTAAATTTAGTGCATGAATCAAACGTATAAGCCTATCTTTGAGGTTTGCACAGAGGGCTCCATGAGTTACTAATCTCTCTTCCTCACATTAGAATTCTATTTTTTACATGATTCACATAGTTGCATTTTAAGAGCAGCTCTGACCCACAGAATCTGTCTGCAGTAGAGAACAAATATCAAGAAAGTACACCATGAAGAAACCAAAAGCAACAAGAAAGGTGTGAGCAGGATCCTCTTGGCTCGTTCCTGCGCCCCGGAGCCTGGACCAATGCCACACGTGCCTGAGAGACTCTCTCAGGCAGCCACTCCTCACACCCGTCAGGTCAGTGTCCTACCCCAACTCCACCTCTTGGTCAGTGTTCTCCTCACTTGGGCCCTAGTTTGAAGAAATATTATCTATTGGTTTGTATTTAAGTAGCAAATACTTACATTTTCTCTTTTTTTTTTTTTTAGTTGGAGTCTCACTCGGTCGCCTAGACTGGAGTGCAGTGGCCGCTCTCGGCCACCGCAGCCTCGCCTGCTGGGCTCCAGTGATCCTTCCGCCTCAGCCTTCCAAGTAGCTGGAACTACAGGCGTGCGCTACCACGCCCGGTTGATTTTTTGATTTATTGTAGAGATGAGGTCTCGCTGCCCAGGCAGGTCTCGAACCCGCGGGCTCAGGCAATCCACTTATCTCAGCCTCCCAAAGGCGTGGGATTACAGGCTGAGCCACCAAGTCCGGCTTTTCTCATTTTTTTTTAAAGATCAGGAGATGTATAACTGCCAGTTAGCATTTCTCACCAACAAATTATAATCAATATTACCACACTCCAGCTAAAACCATGTTCTTGACAGTCTGCATATCCCTGTCAAGGGTATCAAGTGTATTTTCCTTAAGCTTTCTAAGATCTCAGAAACTATCTAACACCTCACCCTTCCTATGACCTCCTTTCCAGAGTCAGGAGCTGAGGGTCTGTAAACTGGAAAGCACTGCTTTAGAGTGAGTTTAAGGAGTCCTAAAAGACAAGCATTCGCCATTGGCAGTATGAAATCTGTGTTTTCAAAATCAGCAAGTTCATCAAGAAAGCATTAATATACACACTACATGGATACCTCTAGACACACTTTTGAAAGGAACCTGTCTTGGCCCATGCTTAATACCTGGATTCCTTCCTTCACTACAAAAAGGGCAGGCTGCCGGGCTCAGTGGCTCAGCCTATAATTCTGCGCCTTTGGGAGGCTGAGGTGAGTGGATTGCCAAGCCCACGGGTTCGAGACCCGCCTGGGCAACTTGGTGAGACCTCATCTCTACAATAAATCAAAATGAGCTGGGCGTGGTAGTGCACGCCTGTATTTCCAGCTACTTGGAAGGCTGAAGCGGAAGGATCACCGGAGCCTAGCAGGTCGAGGCTGCGGTGGCCGGGAGCGGACACTGCACTCCAGTCTGGGTGACAGAGTGAGTCTCCAACTCAAAAAAAAAAAAAAAAGGGTAGGCTACAGGTTTAGGAACTTTTGCTTCTCCCAAAACTCTGGCAACAGTTAGGCTTTTAAAATATCAGTTCATTTTGCTTCCCAGTGTTGACCTCCAGGGGTTAGCTGTACTGTAAATACCTACAAATGAAAAGTGTGAGCTCTCAATTCACGAAACCTGATGGTGACTATAATATGTCACTTGGATCTTGAACACTTTTTTATCATCATGGTTTAAGAGGCCTGGTTATTATCTTGGTTATTTATCCTGTCATCCCCGTTCTTTGTTGTTTCTATAAACAAAAAAAGATTGTGTGTGTATGTGGATGTGTCGATTGACAAGCATTAAAAATTGTCTTCCAATTACGTCTCATGAGAGACTGTGCCAACTTTAGTCACAAAGTAGTATCTCACGCAAATTAAGACAATGTTTGTTTTAATGCTGTAATAAGTTTATGAGCTCCTGTCTGAAAACACAACCGTCTTAGGACAAACACTAGAGCCCATTTGGGAAGGTCAGCCAGGTTCTGAAGCCCTGCCTTTCACTTTCCTAGGAGCTGGAGGTAGCACACTGGAGAGGTAGTGTACTACACAGACACTGCCTCCAATTTCCGAAGTATCAGATCCACAGCAAGCAGAGATCTCAAAATGTTTCTGAACTCAACTCTAAGGAGGTATCCAAACAGCTTCCTGTTTCCTTTGTAAGTTTAAAGGTAACCCAAATATACTTCTCCATTCTCAAAATTAGATTATGGTAAACTCACCACTATTAAGTTAATACAGAGTTCAAAACCCTATGATCCATCACTGCACAGTGATTCTTTGAGCACCTGGGAAGCTTGGTCAAGCACAGCAGCCCAAGTCCCACCCCCAGGTACTTTGAAGAGCAGAGGAGAATCCCAGCAAGTGTATTTTTAATAAGCTCCCAAAGTGATTTGCATGCACCCAAAGGCTTGAGATTCACTACTCTGGAGTTTAGCAATTCAACTGGAACTTTTATTTTTCTGATTGTCTTTATCAGTGAATATCACTTTATTCCAGTTACAAATAATTTACATGAGAAACATTGGTTTGGATATGTCTATCATTTAAATTTGGTGCCTAAGGGGTTGGGGGGTGACTTGCCTTCACAGCTGATTTTTCTTGTCAGTCTTTAGTGTCAGGATTTCCTTAGTGCACAGCTTCCACTAAGGGGGAAATTTAAAGAATCCTTCATCTCCTTTGAAACACCAGGGATCTCCTGTTTTGTTCTCCAGTTCATAAGGCTACTCATTTAAGTACCAGAAGCATGAACCCAAAACCCTGGTAGGTGGGAAGCCAAATAGCAGAGGCCCGCAATGTAGTCATTTTGGTGATTGTTTCATGCAAAGATGCTGGAGGGGGAAAAATGCTACCAAAACAAAAAAAAGTGATTCTCATCAACAGTCTGGCCTTTCTCTAGGCCTTCTCCATCAGGGGTTGTTTGCCACTCTGGTGCATTCCCTTGGTCGCAAGGTCAGAATCTCGGTGTTGACAGAATTAAAAGCAGATCACACCTCTTGATTTTTAAAATTGCCCCCAGTCACCCAAGAGGCAACAACTTCTCTTTGAACAATTTATAGGTTTAAAAAAAAAAAGAATTCGGTTACAGATGAACATACAGCCACACTACTTAAAGTATTCAAAGTTCAAGTGAGAAAGTACATGACAAAATACAATAAAAACAGTTAATAAAGGGAATCTCGAAATTAAGGTCTGCAAAAAAACTAAAAATTCTGTAAAGGAAACAACAATTACAGAAAAGGACTAACTGCCTTCCAACTATAAAGAAACATCTCAGATAGAATTATGCAGCCAGGCTCGGTGGCTCAGCCTGTAATCCCACGCCTTTGGGAGGCTGAGGTGAGTGGATTGCCTAAGCCCGCGGGCTCGAGATCCGCCTGGGCAACTTGGTGAAACCTCATCTCTACAATAAATCAAAAAA